TCTTTCACTGCTCGCTGGTCTTCCAGATCACTCTTATTCCCACATAACACTATATCTGGGTTTTCACAATATGCATGCATTTGTAGCTGGCCTATTAATGTAAGAAGAAAATTATAGGTGAACAATAATGTAAGTGTATGATCAATGGAGAATACATGCAAAAGTGCTGTGAAAACTAAATGTATATACAGATATAGGGACCTGATACAGTGCTTTCAAAGCATCAGCGCCCTCATCTGTCAAACTGAATGGATGAGGCAGAGATGTGAAACTACTCCTGCCCTCAAACACAGACCCCAGCTTATGTATATCAGAGAGGAAAGGGAATACTTAACCCTCTAAAAGTGTGCATGTGCACAAGTGCACCCACATGTGCATGCATGCACACACACACACACACACACACACATACACAAACATGTGGCAGTCTTTTTATGAAGGCCATTTGAAAAAAACTTGGAGGATTTCCTAGTGCTTATTGCTAATCTTTTTTTTTTTTTAAAGAAAAATAAATATTGATTTGTTGCTCTACTTATTTAAGCATTCACTGGTTGATTTTTTTAAAATTGTTTTATTGCTTAAAGTATTACAAAAAGTATTACATATGTCTCCTTTTTTTTACTGGTTGATTCTTGCTAGTGCCCTGATTGGGAATCGAACACACAACCTTGGCGTATCAGGACAATGCTCTAACCAACTGAGCTACCCAGCCAGGATACTTATAGTTCATCTTAAAACTATTTTTTACATATTTCCCTCCACAGCAATCACAATTTTAAGAGTTATCTTCTTATTAGCTAACCTATTTCTACCTGAAGTGTTTCTCATATTTTTCTATTATTCTAAGGCCGAATCAATTCATTTAACACACAATACAGGATTAAATGAAGAGGGGAAACCCAGAATAAACAGTCAATGATTCAGTCACCGAAACCAAGAAAAAGCAGGAGACTACAATTCTTATTCCACAGCTTTTAGTTCTTTTCACTGGAAAACCTGTAAATAGGCATAATTTTAAATCAAACAAAAGAACTTCATTAAGCTGAGTAGTTTAATCTCCCAAAGAAGGAAAATAAAGTCTTATTTCTTACTTGTCACACCCCGTAATGAAATTAAAACAGCCCAAGCTTTCACAAAATTGATGGCCTAATTTATTTTTCACGTGGTTAACCAGAGAAGTGTTGACATTTTAGTTCCTCATTATGAAGTCATGTTCGTTTTATCTTATCAAACATGATAAGTCAAGGCAGCAGGCATGAATTTCAGCTTGATACTTGGTGTAGAATTTCAGAACAATGACCTTTGCCCTAAAGGGACAAGCAGGAAAATAAGCACTGTACAGGGCAAGACCAAGCTGTGTAGTTTCCAATAAGAGCCATGCCCTTTCTTTCCTCTGGGCTGTTACACACGCTGTCCCCACACCCTTGAATACACAACCGCAACCTTCCTTCAGGGACTCCCCACCCTTCCTCTAAGACTTGCTTCTTAGTTACCTCTGCTGTGAAATCTTTCTGGTCTCCAGAGTGGCTCTGTGCTCTGTTAACACCTTCTATGTCCAGTGTCATGGTCATAACCATGAACTCAGGATCCAGTGTGTCTAAGGTGGAAGCCTGGCTCCGCCGTTTACTACCTGTGCCACTCTGGGAAACTTATTTGACTGCTTTGTGCCTCAGTTTCCATATGTAAATGCTGATGATAATGGTACTTACTGTTAGGGTCACCGAAGGAGGAATGCATGGGGTCAAAAGTGGTAAAGAATTATAAATTTATTAGTGATCTGGAAACCAGATGGGCTGAGCCCCAAATTGGCACTAGCACCCAGGGACAGAGAGTCAGAGATTTTAAAGGACTCTAGGCGGGTTTTTCCGGTGGGGAATTTACTGGGTGGGTCTGGATCCTGGGTAAGTCCATAGCAAATGGAATGTGGTCTAAACAAAAGGGAATGTCAGTTGTGAAATGATCTAAAGTTCAGTTTCCCAGGGGAGGAGATATCAATTCAATTATTTGATCAGACTTAACACTTACTTCATAGGGTTAAAGTGGGGATTGAATGAGTTAATTCAGTGATTACTCAGGTAAGGTCCATGGACTAGCACTAGCCTAAGAACTTGTCCTATAAAATAAAGAGCTAATATGCTAATTAGACCAAGCGGCAGAATGACCATCTGGATGACCTTCTGGATGAAGCCTGGGCTGCGAGGGCCGAGGCAGCTAGGACTGCAAGGTCTGAGCCCCTTGCACGAATTTTGTGCATCGGGCCTCTAGTTAGAAATATAATTCTAAGGTCTCAACCCAGATCTACTGAATCGGGAACACTCGGTAGAGGGTCCAGAATCTGTGTTTGTTGTGATAGACAGACAGATAGACAGACATATCTATACTAATAATAGAGGAATATGCAAATTGTCCAGGACGCCATCACAGTAACAGTAACAACCAGCAGGCTGCATGGGGTGACCAGGCCAGCAGGGGGGTGAGGGACGACCAAACGACTGAACAGCAGGCTGCGAGGGGTGACCAGGCCGGCGGGGGGGGGGGGGCAGTAAGGGGCAACCAAGCCAGCAGGGGAGGGCAGTTGGGGGGACCAGGCCAGCAGGGGGGCAGTTAGGGGAGATCAGGCTGGCAGGCAGAGGCAGTTAGGGGCGATCATGCAGGCAGGCAGGTGAGCAGTTAGGAGCCAGCGGTCCTGGATTGTGAGAGGGATGTCCTCTGGATCAGGCCTAAACCGGCAGTAGGACATCCCTCGAGGGGTCCTGGATTGGAGAGGGTGCAGGCTGGGCTGAGGGGACCCCCCCATGCACAAATTTCATGCACTGGGCCTCTAGTACACACAGACACACACACATACACACATACACATACATGTATATATGTATATATTTTAAACTATTATTTAGTAAAATAATATTTTTATAGAAGTTATATTAGTAAAATAAGTTTATATAAGTTAAATAAAAATGAAGAAATGCTAGAAGTGAGAAGAAAAATAAAATGTATAAATCAACAAATGTTTACTTCTAATTAAGATTTGATATTACCAACTCTAACACTGAACATTATATCTTTAAAAAAACAGGACTAGAGAAGAGGAGAATACTTTCCATTGAAGATATGAAATCTTCAATATGTATATTTTATTTACCTAACTGGGCAGTAAGGACTCTTTTATCCTACAAGGGGGAAAAATACATACATACCCATAATTTCACATAATTTTGTCTATTATCTAAAATACATAAAGCCAAGAAGGACAAGATTTATCTACCGTCTCAGTTTCCCTTTCTACCGATGGAAAAAGAAGTGGTTTATTCTTTTTCGGTGTCAAAATTCTATGAGCACATATCTAACAAGAGTCCTTATAAAGTGCTTGAGCCTGGCAGGCGTGGCTCAGCAGTTGAGCATCGACCTATGAGCCAGGAGGTCGCGGTTTGATCCCCGGTCAGGGAAAATGCCCAGGTTGTGAGCTCAATCCCCAGTGTGGGGGTGTGCAAAAGGCAGCCAATCAATGATTCTCTCTCATCATTGATGTTTCTATCTCTCTCTCCTTCTCCATTCCTCTCTGAAATCAATAAAAACACTTTTAAAAAAGAACACGACCTGAGTAGCTCCACAAGCAGCACATCAAAGGGAGGGCTCAGTCTTATCTGGTTTGGCTCAGTGGATAGAGCGTCAGCCTGAGGACTGAAGGGTCCCGGGTTCCATTCTGGTCAAGGGCACATGCCTGGGTTGTGGGCTCGGTCCCCAGTGGGGGACATGCAGGAGGCAGCAATCAATGATTCTCTCTCCTCATTGATGTTTCTATTTCTCTCTCTCTTTCCCTTCTTCTTGGGAAATATATTTTAAAAAAGGGAGGGCTCAACAGGCACCGGACCCTGCTGGGGCAAGTTCTGCTTTGTGGGGTCAACCCTCACATAGCAGCTCATACACTGTGACAAGGTCAATCCTCACAGTCAGTGAGCCTGAGAGTCAACCCCACCTGTGAATGGGCCAAGAGCAATCAAGACTAAACTACAACAGGAGGGCTCACCTAACCTACAAAATGTACACTTCTGGGTCACCCAAATAAGGTGAAGATTCCATCAAAAAACTATGAAAACTGCCCAGCTGGTGTGGATCAATGGTTGAGCATGAACCTATGAACCAGGAGATCACAGTTCGATTCCAGGTCAGGGCATGTGCCCATATGGGCTCGACCCCCAGTAGGAGGAAGCTAATCAATGATTCTCTCTCATCATTAATGTTCCTATCTCTCTCTCCCTCTCCCTTCCTCTCTGAAATCAATATAATATATTTTTTAAAAAGATCAATGGAGCAAAATAGAAAGTCCTAAAATAAACCCACGCCAATATGATCAAGTAATATTTGACTGAGGCCAAGAATATACAATGAGATAAAGAAGGTCTATTCAGTAAATGGTGTTGAAAAATTGGACAGGTACATGCAAAATATAAACCAGACCACCTTCTTACACCATATATAAGAAAAAACTCAAAATGGACTCAAGATGTAAATGTAAGACTCAAAACCCTTAAAACTAGAAGAAAACATAAGGGGTAAAATCTCAGACACTTCTCTTAGCAATAGTTTTTCTGATAATTTCCTCTGGCAAGAGAAACAAAAGAAAAAAATAAACAAATGGGGCTACATCAAACTTAAAAGGTTTTGCATAACAAAGGAAACCATCAACAAAATGAAAACACAACCTACTAAATGAAAAAAGATATTCACCAATGATGCATCCAGTAAGGGTTAATATCCAAATTTTATAAACAACTTCACACCAAAAAAAAAAAAACAATCTGGTTAGAAAATGGGTAAAGGACCTGAATAGACACTTCTCCAAAGAGAAGATACAGAGGGCCATATGACATATGTAAAGATGCTCAACATCACTAATCATCAGAGAGATACAAAGTAGAACTACAATGAAATATCACTGCACACCTGCCAGAAAGGCTATCATCTATAAATCAACAAACAAGTGTTGGCAGGGATGTGGAGAAAAGGGAACCCAGATGCACTGTTGGTGGGAATGCAGATTGGCACAGCCACTTTGGCAAGCAGTATGGAAGTTCCTTAAAAAATTAAAAAGGAAACTGCCTTATGACCTAGTGATTCCACTTCCGGGTATATATCCAAACACACCCAAAACACTAATTCAAAGGAATATATGCACCCCTATGTTCATTGCAGCATTATTTATAACTAGAGGCCCGGTGCACAAAATTCTTGCACTGGGGGGCAGTCCCTCAGCCTGGCCTGCACCCTCTTGCAGTCTGGGACCCCTCGGGGGATGTCCGACTGCTGGCCTAGGCCTGATCCCGCGGCAATCGGACATCCCTCTAGCAGTCTGGGACCCCTTGGGAGATGTAGCAGTGCGCCAAGCAGCAGGTGGCCAGGGGGGAAGCGAGCCTAAGCCATCAGTCAGACATCCCCTGAGGGCTCCCGGACTGCAAGAGGGAGAAGGCCAGGCTGAGGAACCCCCTCGAATGCGTGAATTTCATGCAGAGGGCCTCTAGTATTGTAATAACTATGTACAGTGCCAATTCAGTACTGGAAATACCAGGAGGAACACTTTGTAAAGTATACGACTGTCTAACCACTATGCTGTATACCTGAAACTAATACAAAATAATATTAAATGTAAACTCTAATCTATAATATTAAAAGCATGATATGCTAATTAGACCAGATGTCCTTCTGGACGACCTTCCGGACGAAGGCAGGGCTGCAGGGAAGCCTGGGTCCCAGGTGCCAGATGAAAGCCGGTGCCAGCAGCCGGAAAAGGAAGGCCTACTCCTGCATGAATTTCGTGCATCGCGCCTCTAGTACAATAAAATTAAAAAACAAAACTATGGTTTTCTATTATCAAAACCACAGCCAATGCCCTAGCCGGTTTGGCTCAGTGGATAGAGTGTTGACCTGCAGACTGAAGGGTCCTGAGTTCGATTCTGGTCAAGGGCATTTACCTCGGTTGCAGGCTCCTCCCCTGCCCAGGCCCTGGTTAGGGCATGTGCAGGAGGCAACCAATCAGTGAATTTCTCTCACATTGGTGTTTCTCTCTGTCTTTCCCTCTCTCTTCCTCTCTCTAAAAATCAATGGAAAAATATCAAGTGAGGATTTGAAAACAAAACAAAACAAAAAAACCCATAGCCAATACTAACAAATCACCAAGTAATTTTGAAGTAGGAGGTAATTTTTAAGTGTTTTCATTATAAAGATTTGGATGTTAAAAATTTAACATATGAGCCTTTCCCAATAGATTTTCTAGGTTTATACTAATGTAACTTATAAAGGTAAATGTACATTCGCAAGCTGTTATTTGGTCCAGTAGCAGGATTTTAGATTAGGCTCTCTCCAAAAAGCCAAAATGAAGATATATATAGACACACAGACACACACACAAACACACACATACACACACACACACACACACACACACAGTGCTGGGACCACTTTTGCCAATGGAGTTCTAGAGTCCTCCAGGCAAATGCCTGGCCCTCAAAACAGAGAAGGGGCCTCTAAGCATAGAAGAGACATGCAGCCAAGGGTCTAATCCATTAAGCCTTGTATGTAATCTGTGTAATATATGTTTTAAACCCTGGGATGATACAAGACTTGATAGCACACAATAGGCAAGCAGATACTTAGTGATTTAACCCCTCTAGGCCTGTATATCCTCATCTATAAAAGAGGGATGAGTCTCCTCTGTGGGAAAGACCGATTAAGAGATTTGCATGGAAAGCAGGGCCTTATACCTGGAGCATGGGAAGTATTCAACACAACAAAGTTGGTATTATTAGAAAAAGCAGAATATTTTAGTTATCTTTTCCCCTAAACTAATAGCCATGCTCCTTTATATAGCATTTTAAACAGCATTAGGATTTCTCCCAAATCAATTTACAACAAAAGTAGAATATAAGAGGGCATTTTATTGTAGGGAGTGGGAGGCAGGGAGACAATAACACTTACTTATCCAGTTCCTGACATTGAGGAAACTTTGTTCATTTGTCAGATCAAAAAGCAGAAGAAACCCCATAGCATCTCTGAAGAATGCTGTTGTCAAGCTCCGAAACCTGGGGACATAAAAGCAGACTGAAACATAAAGCTCCTGAAACATACAGCTACCACCAGTGCCCTCAGCCTCTCATCATAGTTCATCAATAACAAATTAGATGTTTAATAACGTGCCATTGTTTATAATAACTTCACATTATACTTGAATATTATAGCTCTTAGTTATACTAGATTTAGTGAAAAATGTGATTATAAATGACAATTTAATAGTATAAAGTTATGAGTATAATCCATATTAGGTATCTTACAAAATATAATAAATAGCTATCTAGAGCAAGAATAATTGAAAAATATTCAGACTTTTAAAAATGCCAACAATTATCAAAAGTTATACTTGGAACATTCTTTTAAAATAAAAATAACCTATATCAATGAAAAAAATTTTTTAAACAAATTAGGTGCTGATATTCCAAAAGTGTATAAGACAGTTATTTATCACTTCTGTAAGTTTATGTATTAACAGACCATGTGATTCAAAAACCCAGCCCGCTGGACAGGGATGACAGAACTAGTTCATGATCCTTTAGTATCGCCCAAGAATTTATTGTCCAACTGAGAGTTAATTAGACCCAAACAACGGAGCTTGCTATGTATGTTTTCCTTGTCCGGTGAAGGTTGGCTTGACTTGACATTACAATGTGTTTCATGACCTTTTGATTTCAATCTCAGGCATTAAGGTGCAAGTAGTAGTGACTCAGTCCCTGTTCCTTTTTGGTACTCTCTCTTCCAAGGCTTTATCCGGCTGTCTCCCCTCTCTCCCTCCACCAGTCCTATCACACCTCTTACTTTGCCTTTATACAAAGCCTACAATGGACAGACACAGGCTCCGAGGAAGAAAATACTGGTATGAACTTGTCATCTAATCTTCTAAGCTTTCTCAAATATTTTTAATCAATATTTTTACAAAAATAGTCTTTATCTTTAGAGATACATACCAAAATAGTTAGGAATGAATAATCTGATATTTGGAATTTGCTTAAAAATAATTTGGGAGAGGGAGTGAATAGGAATGAGGGGCATACATAAAATAAAATTGGCCACAACCTGATGGCTGTTGAAACTGGAAAACATGAGTTCATTATATACTTGAACTTTTCCATAATAAAACGTTTTTAAAAAGCCTTCAAAGAATCTGAGAGAAAAATCTGAAACCTTAGCTAACGAAAAGCAATTTTACATCGAGATTCCATGTGACTGATTTTGGTTAAGCAACTTCTGACCATATGGATTAATTCCAACTAGATTTTCCACTCGGTTTTCAATAATAATACAGACAGGGGTGGGCAAAAGTAGGTTTACAATCGGAGTACACGAAAGTGTATTCTTGTATTATTATTTATTAATTATTGTATATTTTCCCATACGAATAACTGTAAACCTACTTTTCTTCTCCCCTTTATAACTCTGTGGCTTTTGTGTGGCTGCGTAAATAGCCACGGTCAATGGAGAAAAGTGTATAAGCCTTTTAAAAATGAAGAAGACAAAAAAGAAACCATAAGTAAGTTTGATCCATTTTGAAAAAGATTTGTTTTTCCTGTGACTTTGTATGAAATAAAGCCACCATTATCAACTCAGACTGATAAATTTCCTGCTAATTTGGCAGCATGGCGTATCCAGGTGCAAGTGACCTGATCATCTGGCTTCTTCCTGCTCGGGTCCCTGTATGAGAAGTGTAGCTGCTTTTCCCTTTCCTCCAGGAGGAAGCACATGCATAACGGAGGACCTCCTACCTCTCCTGTCCTGCTGTGTCCCACAACTGCAGGTGGATTCTCTGGCCTCTGCCAACAGCTCCATCTGGCCCATTGGCTCTGTACACCTACAACAGCAAAGTAAAAGAGAGAGAGAGAACTTTCTGAGACCAGTGAACTCTTCTTACTTCCCTATTCAGTACAACTATAGCATAAACCTCTAAAGAAAATCCCATGTGGAATACAACCTTGTTTGTATTTTATCCCAAATAATTATCTTTAGATAACACAATAATTTGCATTAACATGTATATATACATCATATATCTTTATAAACATATTATGAAATATATAAATAATACATAATTTCTGTGACATAATAATTAGCTCACCTTTTCTCAAAGAACCCTCAGGTCATGCATTTCAAAAAATATTACCTTTCTATGACTTTCCCCATCCTATCTTTAAAAATACTCTTAAAACAATTTTATAGGAAGTACCTCTGAAACTCTCTTTCTCCATAAAAGCAATGAAAACATTGGCACAAACTGTCAAAATCAACTTTTTCAGAACTCTGACTATCAGTAAAAATAATAAGCTTTGTGCTATTTTCACTTATCCTATTCTCATCTCCCCCTTCCTGGCTCCCAGTAGTCCCAAAAACCAACATATACATAACTATGATAGCTGTGAAAACCATCAGTATAGCAGCAGTGGAGGCAAAACAGGTTTGGAGCTGCCCCTAAAATCTCATCCCCAGAGAGCTGAAAGCTGCGTGTAAAGCCCCATTCCCAGGCCTGGTCTTTATGTCACCTGCCTCAGAGCTTGCTCTATGAGAATAACGCTATCCCTTGGGCATTGTTGAAAATAATCAGCATCAAGTATTTAACATTACACTTACCAAAGGCAAAAAATGCCAGTTGGGGCTAACAAAAAATCTAACCAAAAAGACTTAAAAAAAGAAAAAACAAAACAGGAAATGAGATGTCTATACAGAGATTTGAAAAGCTCCAAAATATTCCTTGTTATATATTAGGCCATGCTCATGTTTAGGGCTGTACATATGCCCAGGAAAGATCTGAAAAAGCCCTAAGCTCACTCCTCTGGCTGACCTTGAGGCTCTTCTCAAGCATGAAGTGAAGGCTAAGACAGATTTATAAACCATCTACTAGAGTATTAAGCACATGTCACAGCACACACACATATACACAATGCAAGCCCTATCAAAATTTCAACTAGGTTCTTTGTAGAAAGTGACAAACTGACCTTAAAATTTATATGGAATTCCAAGGAATTCAAAACAATCTTGAAAAAATGAGGACTCATACTTTCCAATTTCAAAAGTTACTACAAAGCTACAGTAATCAAGATAAAAAAGTACTGGCATAAGGATAGGCATATAGTTAAATAGAATCAAATTGCAAGTTCAAAAATAAACCTTATATTTATTGTCAACTGACTTTCAATAAGAGTGCCAAGACCACGCAATGGGAGATAAAATAGTCTTTTCAACAAATTGTGCTGGGGCAACGGGCTATCCACATGCAAAAGAATGAAGTTGGATCCCTATTCACACTATGCATAAAAAATAGCTCAAAATGGATCATAGTCCTAAATGTAAGAGCTAAAGCTATTTGCTTATCATATATCTAATGAGAACACATCTCTAGGATATATTTAAAACTCTTAAAATTTAACAAAAAGACAACCAACTTCAAAATAGATAAAGGCAATAAAAAGTATATTTAAAGAAATAGACAAGGAACCTGATTAGATATTTCTCCAACGACAATATACAAAGGGACAATAAAGCACATGAAAAGATGATTGCTCAACAACATTCAGGGAAATTTAAGTCAAACCTACAATGAGATACCATTTCACACCCACTAGAATGGCTATCATCAAATAGATAATAACAAAAGTGGTGAGAATATGGAGAAATTGGGACCCTCTTACATTTCTGGCAATGTAAAATGGTGCAGCATCTTTGGAAAATTTTGGAAGTTTCTAGGCATATGCATAAGATATTTGAAAACATAAGTCCTCACATAAGAGATATGATAGTAAGTCCATGCACAAAAAAATATATATGAATGTTAATAGAAACATTATGCATAAAAGGGAAACAACCCAAAGGCCCACCAACAGATGAATGGATAAACAAAATGTGCTACATATATAAGTACAATGAAATATAATTTGATCATAAAACAAAATGAAGTTCTGATACATGCTACAACATGAATGATCCTTGAAAATATGCTAAGTGAAAGAGGCTAGACACAAAAGGCCACATATTGTATGATTCCATTTATATGATATGTCCAGAATAGGCAAATCCTTCCAGAATAGATGAGTGGCTGGGGGGAGGGGAAATGGGGAATGACTGCAAAAGAGTATGAGGTTTCTTTTTGGGGTGATGAAGTGCTCTAAAATTAAATAGTGGTGATAGTTGCTCAACTGTAAATATACTAAAAACCACTGAATTATACACTTTAAATGGGTGAAGCTTATGTTAAGTGAATTTTACCACAAGAAAGCTATTTTTAAAAAACAAGGTTATAAAATGGGAATTAATAAATAAATATAAGCACATATATATTAATTCTACCAACTATATGTCAATATTGAAACTTTCATAAAGATCCTATTATTACTCAGTGGGTCTGAGTCTCTAGAAGACTCCCTGGTAATGGAAGAAAACACCTATGGTGGGTAGAAGGGGATGGATGCTTCTGTCCTGAAGCCAGGGGTGCTGCATCTTTCCCAGGTAGAACATGTTCCATGGCAGGGTCTTTGTCATTGATCTCCTGACCACTTCCTGACCGGCTTCATGGTAACAGTCAATTTTTTAGCAAGAAATATAGTTCATGGAAAAAGCCATCTTCATTCCTCTGCAACTCTGACACAGCGACCTCCTGCCTTCTCCTCCACCACCAGAATATTTTTTGGTCGTGTGGTCCTTTAAAAATAAAAAATAAAAAAAATGCCTCTTGCCCTAGCCGATTTGGCTCAGTGGATAGAGCATCAGCCTGTGGACTGAAGGGTCCCGGATTCAATTGAGGGCACATGCCTGGGTTGTGGGCTTGATCTCCAGTAGAGGGTGTGCAGGAGGCAGCCAACTGATGATACTCTCTCATCACTGATGTTTCTATCTCTCTTTCCCTCTCCCTTCCTCTCTGAAATCAATTAAAATATTTTTTTTAAAAAGAGCGTCTTCCCTCACATTCTGCTCAACTTCTGTTTCCCCTGTTACTTCCCAGATCAACACCCACCACCAGCATCCCCATTCCTATCCCAACCCCACCCTCCTGTCAGCAGCGAGTTCTGCCACTTAGTGTCCACGTGGGATAGCTGAGGCTTTAATTAAGAGAAAAGTCATTAAAAATGACATCAAAGGTGGAAAATATAACAGATAAAATAGGGGTATAAGGGACAGGATGTTTTGTAGGCTTCAGAGCAATTACTGTGGACTTCAGATGGAAGATACAAGCCAAAAAGATATCAAGGAAAATTAATAAAAAGCTTCACTTTTACTTTGTCTACTGAGTTATATATGAAGTGTCCCTCAGCACAGCCTTTTCAATCACATTGCCAGGATTAAACATAACACACTTTCATATGTACGCCTTAATTTAATTTAATTTTTTAAAGATTTCAATAGATTTTTTAGAGAGAGAGGAAAGGAAAGGGAGAGACAGAAATATCAATGTGAGCAATACATCAATTGGCTGCCTCCTGAATGCCCCCTACTGGGGATTTAGCTTGCAACAGGGCATGTGCCTGGGCTGGAAATCAAACCACCAACCTTTTGGTGCATGGGATGGTGGCCAACCAACTGAACCACAGTGGCCAGAGCTGTATCCTTTAATTTTAGATTCCAACCTTTGTCGTCCTAATTCCTACAAAGTAAACTAAACAGACAGGCAAATGTGGACTCAGAGATTACATTTTTACTTTTATTTTTTTAGAGATTACATTTTTAGATAGGAGGCTAGAGAACTTACCACTCTCTTTTCCCTGAAATCAATGCCCACTGTTGTGATAAATTTGGAGTTGAATTTGCCATCTGTGTACTGGTAAAGCACACTGGTCTTCCCTACTCCAGAGTCTCCCAAAGCTAAAAACTTGATGAGGTAATCATAGTCTCCATCAGACATAATGAAGAACTCTGGTTCACCTGCAAAAACCAAACATTACAAAATATTAGACTTCTCCATACTTTAATATCCAGGTCAACAAGTACGTCTATGTAACACCTATATGCCTAACAATTCTGTGAGGGGAGGATTAGATATTGTTCTCTGCCCCTAAAGACCTCTTCTAGTAATTTGCTAGAAGAGTTGCTACTGAAATAGTAAATAACTAACAGTTCAGCTTAAACTGAATATAGTACTCTGAAGACAAAAATTCCAAGTGAGAATGATAATTAAGAAGGTAATGGTCATTAAGTCTTATATGCAGATCATTTGAACAAAAATTAATGAGAGAGAGAGAGAGAGAGAGAAGAATGTTGCAGGAATAATAACAATTCTGAGAGCATAAATGGTTCCAATTCCTCCCCCGACTCTACTTTTTCAAAGTCTCCAAGTGCTGGATCCTTGGCTTTTCTCGCCTTTTACTTGGACATCTAGGCAATTTCACTTATCCCATTCATTTTCCCAGGCCATTATAGTTTCTTCAAAGACAATGCTAAATTAGCAGGTAACATCTGGCTTGCAGCTTTATTATTATTATTATTATTATTATTATTACATGACACATATTAAATCAGACTTTTCTGGACTCTCACTGCTTACTTGGAAACTGAGTTCTAGATCTGAGCAGTCACTGCACAGAGACCATAATTCACAACAAAAGGCTCATTGACCTGTTCTTGCCTTGATATTCTAACAAGAAATGCTACCTATTCAGCTCTTTGATGTTGACTAACACAAAAGTCCACTTTAGAGAAGAAAAATTATTTTTTACCAACAAGACCTAACCATGCTTATTTTTTATCCATTGCAATCAGCACTTTTCATGATTTTTTATTATCCTCTAAATAGATTCAAACTATTCAAAATGTCAGTCTGTCTAAAAATGTAGTCTGTCTCCCAGGAAGGCTTCTCTTTACCCTCCCAAATCTAATTCCAAGAAATCCTTCTGAAAATTAGAAAAATAATCAGCTATCCCATTACCACTGACAACTCTACTTGCCCATTCAAACACATATTCCCCGATCCACACACACATCAGATTTCCTACCTTAGATGCTGCTGATTTTCTTCTCATTGTCTCCTTTTCACCCAGCCCCATGCCCAGAAACTTTACCACAATTCTCAGTATGTCCTATAGAATTATTTCCACAGATCCATAGAATTAATAAAAACCCAGGCAAGGACATTCATCGGTTCTGAAGGTTGCCACCCCAACCCCATCCTCAATTTGGTGACTCACTTTATGCTCAAAAATCCTGATTGCTGAGACCCAAGAGCCACTCCATGTACTTCCTCAGAGTGTCTGAGTGCAGACTAACTTCACATTCAGATACGGCTGGTCGGTCGATAAGGGCAGAGCCTCTACAAACATTCATAATTCTGTTTGCACACTATAAAGAATGGCATTTTACAGACGATGGCTTTCCCATGCCATGGCTTCTGTATTCACAGGTGTAGGCTGCCAATATGAATGGTATATAACAGAATTCTTCTCCAAAAGATGACCACTTGGGTACAAATAAATATTCTAGTGTATCATATCGCAGCATCTCACTTGGCTCCAAGTTATTCAGAAATAAGAGCTAAGAACTGAAAGTAGATCCAGTTAATGTTTAATCATTTTGGGGGGTCCCCCTTAAAATGAATGAGGAAGCAGAAAGCAACTCCAAATTCTGCAATGACAGTGATGCAAGAAGACACTGTGGCTGCCTTGTTTCCTCTTTACATTTAATTTGAAAAAAAGTTGGTCATTTCTAAAAGTATGTCTTTATGTAATTTAAGGTACAAAAGAAAATGCTGTCACCAATGGTATCACCATTCTAGAATTCTCTAAACCCACTTGAGTGGAATGTAGAGACAGATGAAACTATCTGTGTTGCATCAAAAGTTAATGGCATCATGGGAGAAGAATCACACGTGTAAGTCTACAGATGATCTTCATGGGTTTTGTTTTCTATTCATGCTGATAACAATACATAAGTTGGTTCCTAAACCAAGCAATCATAAAGGAAGTGTTAACAAACCAAATACTATAACCGAAAGGATAGAAATGCCAACATCAATATTCATCACAGTTTGCCTTCTTCAGACTGTACATTTAGACAATGATCTGCCTTATCTGAAAATAAATGTTCAGACCTTTCATTCTCTGGGCTCAGTTTTCTAAAGGATAAAGAGAACCCAGAAAGGTTCATTCATTTGCACAACCAAGAATACAGGCCTCCTAACTCCCAGCCCAGTGTCCATTCTAGCCCAAACTTTGTGTCCATCACTCACGTTTTTACAAATGCATGTTGGGCTTAAAAGCAACTAGATATAGCCCCAGCCAGTTTGGCTAAGTTGTTAGAGCATTGGCTTGCAGACTGAAGGGTCTGTGGTTCGATTCGGTTAGGGTGCATGTGGGAGGCAACCAATCTGTGTGTCTCTCTCACATCAATGTTTCTCTCTCTGTGTCTCTCCCTCTCACTTCCACTCTCTCTAAAAACCAATGGAAAAAATTTTCTCAGGTGAGGATTAACACAAAAAAAACAGAGCTGGGTTGAGTCCCCATGTTTCTCACATACCATCTACGCACATACAGGGGATTTAAGCCTTGTATTTCATGTTTCCATTCTATGAAAAAGAAGATAACATGCACTATCGCAAGACATTGTTCTAAGGATTGAATGGGATACTCTTTTTTTAATATATTTTTATTGATTTCAGAGGGGAAGGGAGATGGAGAGATAGAAACATCAATGATTAGAGAGAATCATTGATCGGCTGCCTCCTGCATGCCCCCTACTGGGGATCGAACCTTCGATGCAGGCATGTGCCCTGATGGGGAACTGAACCATGACCTCCTGGTTTATAGGTTGACGCTAAACCACTGAGCCATGCTGGCCAGGGTGAATGGGATACTCTTTGTGGAGTGCCCAGCACAATGCTTGGCATATCCTGGGTACTCAGTAAATGTTAGTTTATTCATTTCTCTCCATTATGGACAGAGCAGACTGACTCTGAAGTCCTAGAACAATTTCTGAAATTGCCACTGGGAAGCTCAAAACATATATTTAGTACTACTTTTAATTGTTTTTATTTTATTGTTGTTGTTTTTTTATATTGCCCTGATTTTATTTTATTTTATTGTTATAGAAAGAAAGAATTCAAGGAACCATGACCTGGAATTGAACCAGCAACCTTTCAGTACATAGGATGATGCTCAGCCAACTGAGCCACACTGGCCAGGGCTCAAACTGTATAGCACAAACGATTGCTGACTGGCTCACAACAGTTTGCTGAGTCAACAAGGATCACTTTCAAACTACTTCTTTTTTGGCACGTTCAAATGATTTTCAATTCATTTAAAATAGATATGTTAATTTCAAAAGTTATGATCAGCTTAAAAGCCGATTCAGATTTGTATGAAACATGGCAATCTGTTCTAACAAACTCATACTTGTTCAAAAGAATTTGAATGGTTCATACTAATTCAGAGTGAAAGAGTTGAGTAAAAGAGGTTCTACCTAGAAAACCATCTCTGACTGATCTAAAACCACCCTGGTTAAAACCAGACAATCAAAATTATTTGGGTCTGGGTTTTGTTTGTTTGTTTGTTTGTTTTATTTTTTGGTTAATTCTCACTCAATAATATTTTTCCATTGATTTTTTTAAGAGAGAGTAGAAGGGGAAAAAAGAGAGAGAGAGAAACATCGATGTGTCTCTCTCACATCGATTGGTTGCCTCTTGCACATACACAGACCAGGGCCAGGATCAAACCTGCAACCCAGGTACATGCCCTTTACCGGGAATCAAACCAGCAACCCTTTTGTGCACAGGCCGAGGCTCTAACCACAGAGCCACATCAGCCAGGGTTATTTGGGTCTGTGTTGTTTTTTTAATGTATATTTTTTATTGTTGATAGCATTGTAGATGTCTCCCATTTACCCCTACCCCCTTTACCTCCCTCCTCCCAGCCTCTACCCACCTTCCCCAGGTCTTCACCACCCTATTGCTCATGTCCATGGGCTATGCACATGGGTATATAAGTTCTTTGGTTTATCTCTTCTCGTCCACCCACTCCCACATCAAAGTATGTCAGTCTGCTCCATGTCTCCATGCTTCAGGTCTTATTTTATTGGTCAATTCATTTTGCTCATTAGATTCCACAAATAAGTGAAATCATGTGATATTTGTCTTTCTCGGATTGGCTTATTTCACTTAGCATAATATTCTCCAGGTCCATCCAGGCTGTCCCAAAGTGGGTCTGGTTTTGATAGCTCAAATTGCTTCAGACTGCTTTTAGCTAGCTCTAATAAGTTCAGATCCAGAAAAGCAGGTTCTGACTGGCTCACAGAAGGTTTGATTGATTCAGAATATATTTTACTGAATCAAGCTAGTGCTGACCAATTAAATCCATCTCTAGCTGGGTCATTCTTGCTCTAATTTTATCAAACTGCTTGTAAATAGTTCAAGTCATCTATAAAATGGTTTTTACTGGCCTACACTGATAAAAATTGGTTTAGAACAGTCCAAATTGACAGATCAGATGTTCAAACATTTCAAGACTAGAAATATAACATAAGAAGAAGCAGCAGCAAAAGCAATGATTTGTTGCTTTAAACTTACACTGAACCAACAAACTTAAATTTTTACTTATAATTACCCCAATTGTAATTAGTCTGTACCCCAAAATTTATCTCCACCACAGTATAGTTTCTTTCTACACTTGAACTGCTTGTACAGTAAACAGTTTGGGAGAAAGGAGTACTGGCAGAGAACACTCAATAAATAATTGGGAAAGATGAATAAACAATGGGGAAAAGATTGATGAGTGACAAAGGCTTCCTTGGTTGAGAAGTCACCTCCCATTTATCTCATGGACCTGGCAAAAACACATCAACCCATGATCAGACAATAAAATAAAGAGTTCAGGCCTGGCCAGTGTGGCTCAATTGGTTGAGCTTCGTCCCAAACACACAGCCCTAGAGACAGCCCAGTT